CTGGCAACCAACATTCATTCTGCTATCTCTAGGAATTTGACTATTCCAGGTACAAGCATACCTCAGAGATATTGTAGTTTCAGTTTCAGACCATCACAATGAAGCAAATATGTAATAAAGTGAGTCACACAAATTTTTTGCTTTCCCAGGACATATAAAAGTTAGGTTTACACTATACTGTAAGTGTTCAATAGCACTGTCTAAAAAATATACATACTTAAATTTAAAAATAATTTATTGCTAAAAAATGATGACACAAACACAAAGCACATACTGTTGGAAAGATGGCGCCCACAGACTTGCTCAATGCAGGGTTGCCACAAAGCTTCAATTCATTTTTTTAAAAAAGGCAGTACTGTGCAATAAAGTGAAGCCCAATAAAGCAAGGTATGCCTGAACTTCATGTAAGTGAAATCATGGAGTATATTGTGCTTTTGTGACTGGTTTCCTTCATTTAGCAAAATGTCCTCCACGTTGATCCATGTCATAGCATGTGTCAGAATTTCCTTCCTTGCTAAGACAGAATAATATTCCATTGTATCTGTAGACCACATTTTAATGTATCCATTTATCACTGGTGGACATTTGAGTTGCCTCTACCTTTTGGCTACTGTGAGTAATGTTGCTATAAACATGAGTATACAAATACCTGTTAAAGTCCCTGCTTTCAATTCTTTTGGATATATACCCAGAGGTAGAATTGCTGGATCATATGATGATTTTATTTTTAATTTTTTGAAGAACCACCACAATGTTTTCCATAGAGGCTATACCATTTAACATTCCTAGCAACCATGCACGAGGACTCTAATTTCTTCTTGTCCTTGCCAACAGTTGATAATTTCTGCCTGGACGTTTACATGGTAGCCATTCTAACTGGTATGGGATGATATCTTATTATGATCTGTCAAAGATTTTCTGAGAAGTATATCAAAATTTTCCACTGCAATTGTGGTTCTGCTCTTGAACTCTAGTAAACAATTGTGCTTTTTATAGTTGATATTTTTTTTTTGCATAATAGTATTATATATTCACATATATGTGCAAAAAGTTAGTGTTACTTATACATAGTACATTTTGGTATCTTATTGCCTGGCAAGTTGCTTCTTAAAACCCAGCAGAGATTGAGGATAGGTGCTCACAGTGCTGCTCAGTGCCTGGAGCTTGTGGCCCCTCTGGTTGTCTTTTGTTCGTTACCACAAATAGAAATTAATATTAGCACTCCACACTCGAAAGGCTGTTACTCGCCATCTGAACATCAGAAAAATAAGCTGACTGCAGTTGGCATTGATATGCCTCTAACTCTGCAATAAATACTTGAGCACAGACAGACTTTGGCCAGGTACTAGAAATGCAGCTGTGGTCAAGATATACACAGTTCCCACTTTCATGGGTCCTACAGTGGAGAAGGGAGACATTAAATAAATGACTGTACAAGAGAAGTACAAGTGTTAAGTAGCAGCACATAAGAGAAAGATCAAACGCGGCTAAGAAGCCGGGGAAACCATCCCTGAGGAAGTTCCGTGTAAACTGACCTCTAAAGGGTCACGCATTCGGTCAGTTATGGAAAAGCTTCCTGGTCAGGAGTGTGGATTCTGGAGCTGGACCGGCAGCACCCAATCCCTGCTCTGGCGCGTCTTAGTGGGAGGACTGTAATGGACTGAATGTGTCCTGCCCCAAATTCGTATGTTGAAATCCTAACCCCTAATCTGATGGCATCAGGAAGTGGGGCCTCTGGGAGGCAATTAGTCATGAGGGTGGAATGGGATTTGTATCCTATAAGAAGAAACACAAGAGGGATGATTCCTCCCTCTTCCATGTGAGGAAACGACACGAAGTTGGCCATCTGCAAGCCAGAAAGCGGCTCCTTACCAGACACCGGATCTGTTGCCACCTTCATCTTAGACTTCCCAGCCTCCAGAACTGTGAGAAATAGAGGTTTGTTGTTAAAGCTACCCAGTCTATGGAAATTTGTTATCGCAACCCAAATGGACTTAGATAAGGACTCTAGGTGAGTTATTTAACTTCTTTGTAAAGAAGCATTGCAGTCATTGATAAAAACACATACCAGTTTCTGGCACATAGAAAGCACACAATAAATGTTTATTATTCAGCAAACAAATATGAGTGCTTACTGTGTGCCGGGAGCTATACTGAGAGCACAGTGATAAAAACAGACACACAGTCAGTAAAGACTGCATAACAACGTTTCAGTCAAAGACAAACCACATATACAATGGTGGCCCTGTAAGATTACAGTGGAGCTATCCTATAGAAGTATACAATTTTTTATCTTTTATGCCATATTTTTATTATACCTTTTTATGTTTAAATACACAAATACCACTGCATCATAATTGCCTACAGTATTTAGTACAGGAACATGCTATACAGGTTCATAGCCTAGCAACAACAGACTATACCATATAGCCTAGGTGTGTATTAAGTTCTACCATGTAGGTTTGTGTAAGTACACCCTATGATGTTCACACAATGATGAAATCACCTAATGGCGCATTTCTCAGATGTGTTTCTCAGAACATAACCCTGTCATCAAGAAATGCATGACTAGAGTCATTGCCTTTATAGAATTAGTCAATGGAGTACACAGTGATAGAAAATAGATCTCCAGAAAGATTTAATTTGACAGCTTTTATCTAAAGCCTCTAAAATGTCCCTACCTTTCAGCTCAACAATTACATGTCTGGGAATTTATTCTAAAATGACCACGAATGTATGCAATGTTTTAGCTATTTCTAATACTGAAGAGTTAAGTGCAGCTTAAGTGTCCCACAGGAAGTTGGGTTTATTTTGACACGGCCCATATGATGGAATGTCATGTAACAATTAAGATGGAGATAAAATTCTATTTACTGACATGAGATGAAATTTAGCATCATGTATGAATAGCTTTTGCTAATAGCATTCATAATCTATAGGAAGCAAATGTGGAACTATCTGAACCAAAGTGTTAATAGTAATTGTCTCTAGGTGAAAACACCAGCTAGGAATCAATAGAAACCAATTGTGGCAAACTTGGTGGGAAGGGAAGACTTTATTGGAAGAAGCTGGAGTAACTTAGAGAAAGGAAAGACAAGCTGAACAACCAAGCTTTGGTCAGATAGGAACCAGATGGATCGAGAATCCAGGTGATAGAAATAAGAGGACGATCTCTGCTAAACTATGCCATTGGTAAAAGTCAACTCAATCTAGTGTGTGTGTGTGTGTGTGTGTGTGTGAAAGAGAGAGAGAGAGAAAGAGAGAGGAGTGAGAGAGAGAGAGAGAGAGAGAGTGTGTGTGTGTGTGTGTGTGTGTGTGTATCCCTCTGCTTTCAACCCCCTCAGATTCAGATCTCCAGGAGAGAGAGTCTGGATTGGCCCAGACTAGTTCACTGTGATTGGCGTTGCAGCAAGACCGCATGCAGTAGAACAGCCACAGTGCTCCGGCGAAGGGAGCAGGGGAACAGTGAAATCAACAGCTGTCCACTATCACGGGATTTTAGGCACAGTACTTCCCTTTTTTCTTTATTCATCTGTATTTTTAAATTCTGTGTTGGACAAATAGTGCTTTTATAACAAGAAATTTTCTTTTTATATTTTAAAAAACCTCAGATGCAAATAGTCATCAAGCTTCCTGAATGGGTGATTTCTCAACCTGTTGTCTTCTTTAACATCCACTGCTGCATCTTCCACAGGAAGCCCCATCCCCTAGCCCCACACAAACACGTACACCTATTTATGCACGTGAGTTATTTATTTTTATGTAGTTATATATTAATATAATGTAATACAATGAGTACGTAACACTCCAAAGAAGCCATCATACTCCATTTCAATAAAACGATGACAAATCAATTCTTGAATTCATTATCAGACTGAGTCCTTTACTTACATGATGTCACTTTAATGTAAAATACATGATTTGCCAAAGCAATATTTCCTTTCTCCAACACTAGATTCTGTCTTTTCTGAAAATAGATCCTTTCTCTTCCAATAACCTCAAGGCATTCCATTCATATCAAGTATTCCATATAAATTCTCTCACCATCTGTAAGAGCCAAATACAGGATAGGATATTATCTTTCTGCAGAGTTGAGGATGCTATAGACTGGTATTTTACTCAAAATTACACAGCTATCAGTAGCGTCTAATCATCTCTCCATTTATTGAGCTGAAGGTATTAAGTGACCTATTATTTCTTAAAATTATACTTTTAAGTTCTAGGGTCCATATGCAGGATGTGCAGGTTTGTTACATAGGTATACACGTGCCATGGTGGTTTGCTGCACCCATCAACCCATCATCTACATTAGGTATTTCTCCTGATGCTATTCCTCCTTAGCTCCTCACCCCCAGCAGGCCCCTGTGTGTCATGTTCCCCTCCCTGTGTCCATGTGTTCTCATTGTTCAACTTCCACTTATGAGTGAGAACATGTGGTGTTCGGTTTTCTGTTCCTGTGTTGGTTTGCTGAGAATGATGGTTTCCAGCTTCATCCATGTCCCTGCAAAGGACATGAACTCATCCTTTTTATGGCTGCATAGTATTCCATGGTATATATGTGCCATATTTCCTTATCCAGTCTATCATTGATGGGCATTTGGGTTGGTACCAAGGCTTTGCTATTGTGAACAGTGCTGCAATAAACACATGTGTGTATGTGTCTTCATAGTACAATGATTTATAATCCTCTGGGTATATACCCAGTAATGGGATTCCTGGGTCAAATGGTATTTCTATTTCTAGATCCTTGAGGAATCGCCACACTGTGTTTCACAATGGTTGAACTAATTTACACTGCCACCAACAGTGTAAGAGCATTCCTATTTCTCCACATCCTCTCCAGCATCTGTTGTTTCTTGACTTTTTAATGATGGCCATTCTAAATGGCATGAGATGGTATCTCATTGTGGTTTTGATTTGCATTTCTCTAATGACCAGTGATGATGAGCTTCTTTTTATATGTTTGGCCACATAAATGTCTTCTTTTGAGAAGTGTCTGTTCATATCCTTTGCCCACTTTTTGATGCAGTTGTCTGCTTTTTTCTTGTAAATTTGTTTAAGTTCCTTGTAGATTCTGTTTATTAACCCTTTGACAGATGGATAGATTGCAAAAATTTCCTATCATTTCTGTAGGTTGCCCATTCATTCTGATGATAGATTCTTTCGCTGTGCAGAAACTCTTTAGTTTAATTAGATCCCATTTGTCAATTTTGGCTTTGTTGCCATTGCTTTTGGTGTTTAGAAGACCAAAACTATATTCATGAAGTCTTCATCCATGCCCATGTCCTGAATAGTATTGCCTAGGTTTTCTTCTAAGATTTTTATGATTTTAGGTCTTACATTTAAGTTTTTTATCTATCTTGAGTTTATTTTTGTATAAGGTGTAAGGAAGGGATCCAGTTTCAGCTTTCTGCATACAGCTAACCAGTTTTCCCAACACCATTTATTAAATAGGGAATCCTTTCCCCATTGCTTGTTTTTGTCAGGTTTGTCAAAGATCAGATGGCTGATCAGATGGCTGTGTGGTGTTATTTCTGAGGCCTCTGTTCTGTTCCATTGGTCTACATAGCTGTTTGGTACCAGTACCATGCTGTTTTGGTTACTGTAGCATGTAGTATAGTTTGAAGTATAGTTTGAAGTCAGGTGGCGTGATGTGTCCAGCTTTGTTCTTCCTGCTTAAGATTTTCTTGGCTATGTGGGCTCTTTTTTGGTTCCATATGAAATTTAAAGTATTTTTTTTCCAATTCTGTGAAGAAAGTCAATAGTAGCTTGATGGGATAGCATTGAATCTATAAATTACTTTGGGCAGTATGGCCATTTTCACAATATTGATTCTTCCTATCCATAAGCATGGACTGTTTTTCCACTTGTTTGTGTCTGCTCTTATTTCCTTGAGCAGTGATTTGTAGTTTTCCTTGAAGATGTCCTTCACATCCCTTGTAAGTTGTATTCCTAGTTATTTTATTCTCTTCGTAGCAATTGTGAATGGGAGTTCACTCATGATTTCACTCTCTGTTTGTCTGTTATTGGTGTATCAGAATGCTTGTAATTTTTGCACATTGATTTTGTATCCTGAGACTTTGCTGAAGTTGCTCATCAGCTTAAGAAGATTTTGGGGTGAAATGATGGGGTTTCCTAAATATACAATTATGTCATCTGCAAACAGAGACAGTTTGACTTCCTTTTTTCCTTTCTCTTGCTTGATTGCTCTGGCCAGAACTTCCAATACTAAAGGTATCTTTCTCTTGCCTGATTGCTCTGGCCAGAACTTCCAATACTATGTTGAATAGGAGTGGTGAGAGAGGGCTTCCTTTTCTTGTGCTGGTTTTCAAAGGGAATGCTTCCAGTATTTGCCCATTCAGTATGATATTGGCTGTGGGTTTGTCATAACTAGCTCTTATGATTTTGAGAAACGTTCCATCAATACCTAGTTTATTGACAGTTTTTAGCATGAAGGGCTGTTGAATTTTATTGGAGGCGTTTTCTGCATCTATTGAGATAATCATGTGGCCTTTGTCATTGATTCTGTTTACGTGATGGATTATGTTTCTTGATATGCGTATATTGAGCCAGACTTGCAGCCCAGGGATAAAGCCTACTTGATTGCGGTGAATAAGATTTTTGATGTGCTGCTGGATTCAGTTTGGCAGTATTTTATTGAGGATTTTCACATCAATGTTCATCAGGGATATTGGCCTGAAAATTTCCTTTTTTTGTTGTGTCTCTGCCAGGTTTTGGTATCAGGATGATGCTGGCCTCATAAAATGAGTGAGAGAGGATTCCCTCTTTTTCCATTGTTTGGAATCGTTTCAAAAGGAATGGTACCAGCTGCTCTTTGAAACTCTAGTGGAATTCAGCTGTGAATCTGTCTGGTCCTGGACATTTTTTGATTGGTAATTACTGCCTCAATTTCAGAACTTGTTATTGGTCTATTCAGGGATTTGACTTCTTCCTGGTTTAGTCTTGGGAGGATGTATGCGTCCAGGAATTTATCCATTTCTTCTAGATTTTCTAGTTTATTTGCATAGAGGTGATTAAAATATTCTCTGATGGTAGTTTGTATTTCTCAGGGATCGATAGTGATAACCCCTTCATCATTTATATTGTGTCTATTTGATTCATCTTTTCCTCTTTATTAGTCTGGCTAGTGGTCTATCTATTTTGCTGGTCTATTCAAAAAATCATCTCCTGGATTCATTGATTGTTTTTGAAGGGGTTTTTGTGTCTATCTTCTTCAGTTCTGCTCTGATTTTAGTTATTTCTTGTCTTCTGCTAGCTTTTAAATTTGTTTGCTCTTGCTTGTGTATTTCTTTTAATTGTGATATTAGGGTGTCAATTTTAGATCTTTCCTGCTTTCTCTTATGGGCATTTAGTGCTATAAATTTCCCTCTACACACTGCTTTAAATGTGTCCCAGAGATTCTGGTTCATCACATCTTTGTTCTCATTGGTTTCAAAGAACATCTTTATTTCTGCCTTAATTTGATTATTTACCCAGTAGTCATTTAGGAGCAGGTTGTTCAGTTTCTATGTAGTTGTGCAGTTTTGAGGTAGTTTCTTGATCCTGAGTTCTAATTTGATTGCACTGTGGTCTGAGAGACTGTTATGATTTCCATTCTTTTTTATTTGCTGAGGAGTGTTTATCTTCCAATTATGTGACCAATTTTAGAATAAGTGTGATGTGGTGCTGAGAAGAATGTATATTATGTTGATTTGGGGTGGAGAGTTCTGTACATGTCTACTAGGTCCACTTGGTTCAGAGCTGAGTTCAAGTCCTGGATATCCTTGTTAATTTTCTCTCTTGTTGATCTGTCTAATATTGACAATGGGGTGTTGAAGTCTCCCACTATTATTGTATGGGAGTCTAAGTCTCTTTGTGCGTCTCTAAGAACTTGTTTTATGGATCTGGGTGCTTCTGTATTGGATGCATATATATTTAGGATAGTTAGCCCTTCTTGTTGTGTTATTTATCCCTTTACCATTAAGTAATACCCTTCTTTGTCTCTTTTGATCTTTGTTGGTTTAAGGTTTGTTTTATCAGAGAGTAGGATTGCCACCCCTGCTTTTTTTTTCTTTTTTTTTCCGTTGCTTGGTAAATCTTTCTTCATCCCTTTATTTTGAGCCTATATGTGTCTTTGCATGTGAGATGGGTCTCCTGAATACAGCACACTGATGGGTCTTGACTCTATCCAATTTGCCAGTCTGTGTCTTTTAATTGGTGCATTTAGCCCATTTATGTTTAATGTTAATATTGTTATATGTGAATTTTATCCTGTCATTATGATGCTAGTTGATTATTTTCCCCATTAGTTGATGCAGTTTCTTCATAATGTTGTTAGTCTTTACAATTTGGTATGTTTTTGCAGTGGCTGGTACCAGTCATTTATTTCCATGTTTAGTGCTTCCTTCAGGAGCTCCTGTAAGGCAGGCCTGGTGCTGACATAATGTCCCAGCATTTGCTTGTCTATGAAGGATTTTATTCCTTCTTTGCTTATGAAGCTTAGTTTGGCTGTATATAAAATTCTGGGTTGAAAATTCTTTTCTTTAAGAATGTTGAATATTGGCCTCCACTCTCTTCTGGCTTGTAGGGTTTCTGCCAAGAGATCTGCTGTTAGTCTGGTGGGCTTCCCTTTGTGGGGAAGACCTTTCTCTCTGGCTGCCCTTAACATATTTTCCTTCATTTCAACCTGGTCAATCTGACGATTATGTGTCTTGGGGTTGTTCTTCTCAAGGAGTATCTTTGCAGTGTTCTCTGTATTTCTGGAATTTGAAGGCCATCCTGTCTTGCTAGGTTGGGGAAGTTTCCCTGGATAATAACCTGGAGAGTGTTTTCCAACTTGGTTCCACTCACTCCGTCACTTTTGGGTACACCAATCAAATGTAGATTTGATATTTTCACATAGTCCTATAGTCCATGGAGCCTTTGTTCATTTCTTTTCACTCTTTAATCTTGCCTTCTCACTCTATTTCGTTAAGTTGATCTTCAATCTCAGATATTCTTTTTTATGCTTGATCGATTCAGCTATTGATAGTTATGAATGCTTGATAGTTATGTATATTGATAGTTGTTCCAGAGGGGCACCTGCCAAATGCCAGCCGGAGCTCTCCTGTATAAAGTGTCTGTTGGCCCCTGCTAGGAAGTATCTACCAATCAGAAGGCACAAGGGTCAGGGACCCACTAGAGGAGGCACTCTGTCCCTTAGCAGAGCTCGAATGCTGTGCTAGGAGATCTGCTGCTCTCTTCAGAGCTGTCAGGCAGGGACATTTAAATCTGCTGAAGCCACACCCACAGTCACCCCTTCCTCCAGGTGCTCTGTCCCAGGGAGATTGGAGTTTTATCCTTTAGTCCCTGTCTGGAGCTGCTGCCTTTTTTTCAGAAATGCCTTTCCCAGAGAGGAGGAATCTAGAGAGGCAGTGTGCCCACAGCAGCCTCGCTGAGCTGTGGTGAACTTCACCCAGTTCGATCTTCTGGGCATGTTGTTTACACTGTGAGGGGAAAACCACCTACTCAAACCTTAGCAATGGCAGAGGCCCCTCCCCCTACCAAGCTCAAGCATCCCAAGTCGACCTCAGACTGCTATGCTGACAGCAAGAATTTCAAGCCAGTGAATCTTAGCTTGCTGGGCTCTGTGGCAGCAGGACCTGCCAAGCCAGACCACTTGGCTCCTTGGCTTCAGCCCTCTTTCCAGGGGAGTGAATGGTTCTGTCTCACTGGCATTTTAGAAGCCACTGGGTTATAAAAAAAAAAAAAAAAACTCCTGCAGCTAGCTCAATGTCTGCCCAAATGGCCACCCAGCTTTGTGTTTGAAACCCAGGGCCTTGGTGGCATAGACACCAGAGGGAAGCTCCTGGTCTGCCGGTTGCAAAGACCATGGTAAAAGCATAGTTTCTGGGTATGAGTGCACCATTCTTCACACAATCCCTCATGGCTTTCCTTGGCTAGGAGAGGGAAATCCCCTAGCCCCTTTTACTTCCTGGGTAAGGGGACACCCCATTCTGCTTTGCCTTGCCCTCTGTGGGCTGCACCCACCTTTCAACCAGTACCAATGAAATGAACTGAGTACCTCAGTTGGAAATGAGGTCACCTGCCTTCTGCATTGATCTTGCTGGGAGCTACAGACCGAAGCTGCTCCTATTCAGCCATCTTTCCAGCAAAAATCCACTATTTTTTTTTTTTTATTTAACAGACCTATTTTGTGGTCCTACCTTGTGTCAGGCATTCATGTAAGAAATCAAAGACTGATTTCTTTGTGCACATCCATAGTGTGTGTGCCCAGGCTGTGCTAAGCACTGGAACAAGATAGTTCAGTCCCAGTCCTCAAGAGGCAGAAGCCCTGTCTGCCCTCAGGAGCTTAAATTGGTAGTCAAAGAGCAGAGTATTTGCAAGCAAGGCATTTGGTTTAAGAAATGGAAGTGAAAATTATGTTTGAGAAATTTGGGTGTGTGTGAAAATGATGAAATGAGAACAAGAATACGACAAATACATGTAGTTCAAAGGAACTCTTGAAAGAAGGTGAAAGTAACATGTTGTATGTAAGGAAATGAGAATGTAAATCACAAGCAGATATAATCATCTCAAAATATTGCCTAAGCCTAGATAACACTAAGAACACACACACATACACCCTCATATGAGTAAGTGTCTTTTTTACCCTGGAATGTACTACCCCTTGTTAGGGGAGGCACTCCTGATCCACTATCAGTGACTGCATTTTCAATTACCTTCCCATAGTGATGGGTTTGCACAGTCCCAGCTACACTTTTCAGGCCACCATGTAACCAATCTCAACTTGTAAAGGCTGATAAAATGTAAAATGGTGCAGCTACTGTGGAAAACAGGATGGTAGTTCCTCAAAAAAAATTACACATAGAATTACCACAGGATCCAGCAATTCCACTTCAGGATATGTGTCAAAAGAATTGGATGCAGGGACTTGAACATTCATAGCAGCATTATTCACAGCAGCCAAAAGGTGGAAACAAGCCAAATGTCCATCAACAGAGGAATGGATAAACAAAGTGTGGTATATCCATATAATGGAATATTATTCAGCTTTAACAAGGAGTAAAATTGTGATACATGCTATAACATGGATGAACCTCCAACATATTATGCTAGGTGAAATAAACCAATTACAAAAGTACAAATACAGTATGATTCCACTTACATGAGGTACAATATGAGGTACTTACAGGAATCAAATTGATAGAGAGGCAAAGTAGAGTGGTGATTACCCAGATCTAGGGGAGGAGGTGATGGGCAGTAACTGTTTAGTTATTTTCATTTGGGTGATGAAAATGTCCTAGAGATGGTTAGTGGTGACAGCTGCACAACAATGTGAAGGTGCCTAATGCTCCTGAATTGTACACTTGAAAATAGTTAAAATGGTAAATTTTATATTATGTATATTTTACTACAATAAAAACATTTTTTAAAAAGAAAGACTAATAATGAGATCACAGGGGAGGCTGGCACACCAGAAAGAAGAACCACTGTGACCTCTAATCACAGAATCCCAGGGTTAACCAACTCTAATAGCGTGCTTCCCAGACACTGTGAGTACTTTACAACCATCTCAATACAATCTACTTTACTGTAGACTCAATATTTGTTTTCAAATCAACTTACTTTTTAAAACTAATTTCTATTTTGCCTTTGTCCTAAGCAAAGTTATACCATAGATGAAATCATGGGTCTTGTGCACCATTATACTTTTTTTTCTAACACACACTAATAACATCTTACTTAAAATAACAGATATTGAGCAGCATATAACCTAAAATTATGTTTCATGTCACACTTTGGAAAACACCACATTTCAATAACAATATTGTTTCATTTTATACTAGTTGTTACACAAATGACTACTAGTTTCTAAATCAAATGATAGAAAAAGAATGGGTTTGAAAATCATAAGAGGTAGATTTTAGAGCTGTGCATCCATCAGGGTTCTAACAGGGAACTAATGGCACACCCAAATTAGACAAATTCAAGAAGAGTTTATTTACAAAGAGACTATTAACAAAGATGTGAGTGGGTATGGGTAGGGTGACCATCAGTCCCAGTTGCACAGGACAGGGTGGTACACCTATTATCTTGGTGTAATAATTAATAACACTGCCTTAATTCTGAAGGGTGCCCCAGGCTGGGTGATAAGTTACATCATTTCTCTGAGGACAGAGGAATCAGAAGGGATCATGCAATAATCCAGGGTGAGTAACAGTGAAGTAGTCACCAGCTCTAGACCCAAAGGGATGGGGAAGGGAGCAGTTACTAGAACCTAGGAGGAGAGTCTGTCTAGTGGGCCCCATAGAGGAACTGTGAAGGGATACAGTCAATTTGAGGCAACATTGCAGGGAGAGAGCCACGGAAATGAAAAGTTAAACTCATCCTGCTCTTTCTTCTCATCTCTTGCCAGAGGTCCCTTTGGGCAAGCCACAGAGTGAGGGTGTCTATTGCTACAGCCTTGAGGGATCAGTTTCCTGGGCTGAGAGCAGGGTGGAGGGTAGACAGTGAATCCGGAGGGCCACTAGTTTATGTTCTTTGACCAAGTCCTTCAATCTCTTTGAACACCAGTTTCCTTACCGTTCACATGAAGGCCTCATTCTGGTCATCTCTAAGGATCTCTCAGTTTCGACACTGTATGAAAAAGAAATATTTAAAGGAATATTGATTAGCCTAACAAGAATTTGGGGAGATTTCCTTCTATCACCACCTCAGAGGCATTCATTCCCCCTACCTGAGGCATGTTTAATGTTAACAGGAGTCCTGTTGACCTGAGGAATGAGAAGAGTGTCCATTAAATGACAAAAATGCCTGAAGCTCTAGGAATGTTAACCTTCGTGTGCACCTCGGGAAGGTCAGTCCTCTCTTGTTTAGGCAGCCAATAAGCAGAGATAGACACAAACATCATAATATCTCCCCTTTAAATGTAAGTGCTATTGTTAATACAGCTGAGGAGAAAGGAGATGAAAGGAAAAGAGGAAGATGATCATTATCACTATTGAAAGTGACTTCCACCACTTCCTCTAAGGATGCTACCTACGTCATAATTACTACTGAGAAGAAGTGTAAGACACTGGCTGGCTGCCTGAGTCAGAGGCTTATCAAAGGGATGCATGTCTACATCAGGGAGCCTGCATCCATGGGAAGCCCAGGACTCTGGAAGCCCAGGACTCTGATGGGCCTTCTATCTGGAACAACACAGTTCATTCAGCAATGCTGAGTGCTTACTGAGAACTAGCATGCACGTTAACTGCAGAGTACAAGAATTCACCAATGTAAAGGGAGAGAAGGGTTTTCTCCCCCAAGAACATGAATAATACGTCAGGCTCATTTTATCCAGAAATCCAATATAGTTGCAGAGTTACAGAGTTTGACTTCTTAACCTGCACAGATGGGAGAGGTGACATGGTGAGGAGGTGAAGTAGTGAACACAGAAGCTAGACTGCCTGGGTTCGTTCAAACCCTGACTCTGACCTCACTAGCCATGTGACCTTGACTTTCCTGCAATTTAGCTCCTCATAAATAAAATGAGGACTGGTACCTTCTCCTAGGACTGTTATGGGGATTAAAGTATTTAATAAGAAGCTAATAAACTTAACAAAAGCAGAACAGTACTATATGTGTTTAATAAAATAAATGTTTCAATGGAAGGGCAAAGAATTGAACCCAGAAATCCTCAAACTTAAACATAAGGTGGATGCCACAGTTGCTTAAATAAAATGGAAAAGATAAAGGTAATTTCTACTGGATTTGAGCAAGTTCCCAAGTAAATTTGAAAAGAAATTTCCTATTACATTTGCTTCTTTTTTCTATGTTTTTACAGATGTTAAGAAGTATATGCCTTATGATTTTCATCTATTACAGTTGTCATACATTTATATTTATGTGTGTATAAATAGACACACACATATGGGCTCAAATTCTCCTAGTGCATAACCTACTCTCTGAGGCATGTCATACACTCATAGGGAAAATGGTACTGAATCCAAAGACAGATTAGAATTTTGGTTCTATGCCTTTTTTGAGAGACCTTAGATAAATCTAGCCTTGGGATATGTTTCACCATATGAGATGATCTTTCAGATTCTTGTGGGGATCAAATGAGGTAATACAAGTAAGCACTTAGAACAGTGACTCATTTTTAAACAAACAAAAACAAGCTAAAATGATGGTGTGAGACTTTGAAGACAAAAGGCACGGTGGCTTCCCTTGTACTGTTTCTCTGGATCACTCTGGGGAAAGCCAGCTGCATCTTGTGAGGCCACCTGCAACACACGATGGAGAATTCCACATGGCAGGGATCCAAGGCCTCCTACCAGCTGTCAGCAAGGAACTGAGGCCTCCAGCCAAGAGCCAAGTGAGTGCGCCATCTTAGGAGCAGATCCTCCAGCCCCAGTCGAACCTTCAGACAACCATAATCCTGGCCAACATCCTGACTGCAACCTCCTGAGAGATCTTGAGCCAGAACCACCCAGCTAAACAGCTTCTGGATTTCTGCTCTATGGAAACAGTATGAGATAACATTCATTGTTGTTTTAAGTTGCTAAATTTGAGGGTAATTTATTACATAGCAATAGATAACTAATATAATAGGGGTTGAGTTCCTGGTCTACCTAAACTGGGACTCAGAATAATAACAAGTTGAACATATAAATTTGAGAGTAAGATTATATATAATAAGATGCTAAACTGAGCACTACAGGAAACAAGGCTAAGTGCAATGAGGTGATAAATCTTTTTTTTTTTTGAGACAGAGTCTCATGCTGTCACCCAGATTGGAGTGCAGTGACACGATTTGGACTCACTGCAACCTCTGCCTCCTGAGTTCAAGCAACTCTCCTGCCTCGGCCTCCAGAGTAGCTGGGACTATAGGTGCACATTACCACACCCAGCTAATTTTTGTATTATTAGTAGAGACAGGGTTTCACCATACTGGACAGGCTGGCCTTGAACTCCTGACCTTGTGATCCACTGCCTCGGCCTCCCAAAGTGCTGGGATTACAGGAATGAGCCACTGCACCCGGCCTGTGATAATTCTAAGGTATACAAAATGAGCTGGGGAAAGAAGACATCAATTTGCCAAAAAGAAGGTAGGGTTGGAACTTAGTGTTTTATTCAACTATGCAGCAAATAAATGTAGCAGCAACTGTGTGCTGCATGCTGAGCTAGAATGACAACATGAGCGATAAGTGCTCTCTGATAGTACCCTACAGTTTTTGGAAATTAGGGAAAGCTTCCCAGATGAAAGAGGATCTAACAGAAACAGAAGATTGGGGTTGCATTTGCCAAGCACAGAGGAGGAGGTGAAGTACAATGATCTAAGCCAAGGAAACAGCACATGCAAAGGCAGGATGGTGAGAAAGTACAGCACATGTCTGGAGGTTTGGACTGAGAGTTCAGGGTCGGAAGACATGAGGAAGGAGAGGCTGGATCCTGTAAATCTTGTAAGCCCTTAAATGAGTCTGCACTACATCAGAAGCAAGGGAGCACTACCAAAGTGTTTGTTTTTTGTTTTGGTTCATTGTTTCTTTTGAGGCAGAGTCTCCCTCTGTCACCCAGACTGAAGTGCAGTGACACCATCACATTAACAGATCCATCAAAGTTTTAAAAGTGTATCTGTCTTTATCGCATTTCCTTTCATCTTTTTTAGTCTTTTCCTATTTTCCATAGTAGATACTCATTTATTTTTCCTCCCTCACCGCACAGTTCACTGCAGCTTTGACTTCCTGGGCTCAAGTGATCCTCCCACCTCAGCCTCCCTAGTAACTGGGACTGCAAGTGCACACCACTATACCTGGCTAGTTCATTTCTTAGTAGAGACAGGGTCTCGCTGTGTATGCCAGGTTGGTCTGGAACTCCTAGCGCCAAGCAATCCTCCCGTCTTGGGCTCCCAAAGTGCTGGAATTACAGGTGTGAGCCACTGCACTTGGCCCCAAAGGGTTTTAAAGTCAAGTTTTGATAGAATAAGGGTTGAGTGCAACACCATTCAAATGTATAGTGCCACCCAGTTTACAAGTCCCTCAAAGGTATTCTATCTCCTTAATGCTTACCCCAGGTATGTATTATTTTAACTCCAATGCAAGGAACAAGCAACTGAGACTCAAGAGTTTCAGTGCCTCACACATTAGTTGTAAAAGGTAGAGCTGGGGCTTCAAAGAAAAGAACAAAGAAGCAATTAAGGAAAGGTAGGTAGCTAGGGAACCAGACTGGCAGGCCAGCACAAAGGACAGTATTACATTTTAGAAGCCAACTTCAACTGTCTATTACTGTAATAGGACTTTCCTTAAAAACCATGTTTCTATAGCGGTGTGAATGTATGTGAATTTGTATAAGACCCACTGTAACTACAGAGAACTAGAAAGGATTCTGACAGGTTCCTACTGCTTTCTTTATCATAGCATGTGTCCTGAGAGGTGTCTCAGTGTCCCTGATCTAAAGTAATATAATGATGATGCACACGTGTTGGATACAACTCAGACTTCATCTGTGCCCTTCATAATATGTCATTCCACTGCAGGTGAGACTAGCAATGTCTCCCAGTGACACAGGCCTCCTGCCCAGCTGACCCTGCCTGCCTCCAGTCTGTTACCCCCTAGAGTGAGTTCCTGTCTTGCTGTGGAAAGAAAATAAAAGCAGAAGCATGCCTGCTAAGCAAAAGGATAGTTTAAAAACACTTAACTGAGAAAAATAAAAAGTCCTTAGCTGCAATCCTGAGAACACTGTTGGTCATTTTCTCTGAGGCCCTTCATTTGCATAATTTGTCCAAGTATAAATTTTCAATTACTTGAAAGAATTTCAACCGAGAGTCTTACAAAACGGCAACACAAAATTCATTAGTCCCTAAAACATTGTAATGAGTAGCAGACTGTTCTGATGCCAAATCAAATGTCTGGATATGTCTGAGGTTTGTTTTAAAGCATACCGTTCCTCATTTTGCTGTAGTACTTTAGTGGTGAGAGGGAAGAAAATGAGTAACTACCATGGAAAATAGGAAAAGGCTAAAAAAGATGAAAGAGAATAGGATAAAGACAGATATACTTTTAAAACTTTGATGGATCCGTTAACAAGTAGGCTAAAGAAAACTGCAAATAAAAAATGAGTTCATTTATAATGGAGGAATCCCTTTGATAATATCCGAACCCTCTAATTAGTCTCAGTCTCAGAATCACTAAAAATGGCCAACCAGACTTTATATGCACAGCACCACCAAGGAGTTATAAAATTGAACTAGGATCTGATCAAGCCTCTAGACCTGTATTTCTTTACAAGAAATACAGAGGGCAGAGGTACAAGTTAAACAACACAATAGAGAAGCAATTAGCTAAATTCAGAGTATGGTACATTCTCCAGGACAAATGACCTATTTTCTCCCACAAATCAATGGCATGAGAAGAAGAAAAGAAGGAGCAGTGAAATGATAGAGACAGAAGAGAGATAACCAAATATGACGTATGGACCTTGTTTACATCCTAATCCAAGTGAACCAACTATTAAAAGGACATCTTTAAGACAATCAGAAAATTTGAATATAGTATGGGTAACAAACACTAGTAAGGAGTGGTAGTTAATTTTGTTGGGTGCGAGAATGGCATAGTGGTTGTGTATTTTAAAAACATCCCTAGTGGCTGGCAAGATGGCCAAATAAGAACAGCTCCAGTCTGCAGCTCCCAGGGAGATCAACACAGAATGTGGATGATTTCTACATTTCTAACTGACATGTATGGCTCATCCCATTGGGACTGATTAGACAGTGGGTGCAGCCCACAGAGGGTGAGCCAAAACAGGGTGGGTTGATGCCTCACCTGGGAAGCGCAAGGGGTCAAGGAACTCTGTCCCCTAGCCAAGGGAAGCACTGAGGGATTGTACCATGAGGAACTGTGCATTCCAGCCCAGATACAATGCTTTTCCCACAGTCTTTGCAACCCACAAACCAGGAGATTCCCTGAAGTGCTTACGCCGCCAGGGCCCTGGGTTTCAAGCACAAAACGGGGCAGCCCTTTGGGCAGACACCAAGTTAGCTACAGGAGTTTTTTTCATACCCCAGTGGCATCTGGAATGCCAGAAAGACAGAACCATTCACTCCCCTGGAAAGGGGGCTGAAACCAGGGAGCCAAGTGGTCTAGCTCACCAGATCCCACCCCCATGGAGCTTGAAATTCTCACTGCCAGCACAGCAGTCTGAAGTCACCTGGAATGCTCAAGCATGGTAGAGGAAGGGGCAGCCACCATTGCTGAGGCTTGAGTGGGTGGTTTTCCCCTCACAGTGTAAACAAAGCTGCTTAGAAGTTTGAACTGGGCGGAGTCCAGCTCAGCAAAGCAGCTGTCGCCAAACTACCTCTCTAGATTCCTCCCCTCTGGGCAGGGCATCTCTAAAAAAGGCAGCAGTCCCAGACAGGGTTTATAGATAAAACTCCAATCTCCCTGGAACAGAGCACCTGGGGGAAGGGGCAGCTGTGGGTGCAACTTCAGCAGACTTAAACATTCCTACCTGCCAGCTCTGAAGACAGCAGCGCATTTCCCAGCACAGTGCTTGAGCTCTGCCAAAGGACATACTGCCTCCTCAAGTGGATCCCTGACACCCATGCCTCCTGATTGGGAGACGCCTCCCAGCAGGGGCCAACAGACATGTCATACCCGAGAGCTGTGGCCAGCATTTGGCAGGTGCCCCTCTGGGACAAATCTTCCAGAGGAAGAAACAGGCAGCAATCTTTGTTGTTCTGTGGACTCCACTGGTTATACCCACCAAAGAGGGTCTAGAGTTGACCTCCAGCAAACTCCAGCAGACCTGCAGCAGAGGGGCCTATTAGAAGGAAAACTAACAAACAGAAAGTAATATTATCAACATCAACAAAAAGGACATCCACTCAGAGGCCCAATCTGAAAGTCACCAACATCAAAGACCAAAGGTAGACAAATCCATGAAGATGGGGAGAAACCAGCACAAAAAGGCTGAAAATTCCAAAAACCAGAATGTCTCTTCTCCTCCAAAGGATCACAACTCCTCACCAGCAAGAGAACAAAACTGGATGGAGACTGAGTTTGATGAATTGACAAAAGTAGGCTTCAGAAGGTGGGCAATAACAAACTCCTCCGAGCTAAAGGAGCATGTTCTAAACCAAAGCAAGAAAGCTAGGAACCTCGAAAAAAGGTTAGACAAATTGCTAACTAGAGTAATCAGTTTAGAGAAGAACATAAATGACCTGATGGAGCTGAAAAACACAGCACGAGAATTCTGTGAAGCATACACAAATGTTAATAGCCAAATTGATAAAGCAGAAGAAAGAATATCAGATACTGAAGATCAACTTAATGAAATAAAGCATGAAAACAAGATTAGAGGAAAAAGGATGAAAAGGAATGAACAAAGCCTCCAAGAAATATAAGACTGGGTGAAAAGACCAAACCTACATTTGATTGGTGTACCTGAAAGCAACAGGGAGAATGGACCCAAGTTGGAAAACACACTTCAGGATATTATCCAGGAGAACTTCTCCAACCTAGCAAGAGAGATCAACCTTTAAATTCAGGAAATATAGAGAACACTGCAAAGATATTCCTCAAGAAGAGTAACCCCAAGACACACAACTGTCAGATTCACCAAGATGAAAATGAAGGAAAAATTGTTAAGGCAGCCAGAAAGAAAGTTCAGCTTACCCACAAAGGGAAGCCCATCATAATCACAGCAGATCTCTCTGCAGAAGCCCTATGAGCCAGAAGAGAGTGGAGGCCAATATTCAAAATTCTTAAAGAAAATAATTTTCAACCCAGAATTTTATATACAGCCAAACTAAGCTTCATAAGCAAAGAAGAGATAAAATCCTTTATAGACAAGCAAATGCTGGGACATTATGTGAGCACCAGGCCTGCCTTACAGGAGCTCCTGAAGGAAGCACTAAACATGGAAATGAATGACTGATACCAGCCACTGCAAAAACATACCAAATTGTAAAAACTACCAACATTATGAAGAAACTGCATCAACTAATGGGGAAAATAATCAACTAGCATCATAATGACAGGATAAAATTCACATACAACAATATTAACATTAAACATAAATGGGCTAAATCCCCCAATTGAAAGACACAGACTGGCAAATTGGATAGAGTCAAAACCCATCAGTGTGCTGTATTCAGGAGACCCATCTCACATGCAAAGACACATATAGGCTCAAAATAAAGGGATGAAGAAAGATTTACCAAGCAATGGAAAAAAAAAAAAAAAAAAGCAGGGGTTGCAACCCTAGTCTCTGATAAAACAGACTTTAAACCAACAAAGATCAAAAGAGACAAAGAAGGGCATTAGGTAATGGTAAAGGGATAAATAACACAAGAAGGGCTAAGTATCCTAAATATATATGCATCCAATACAGAAGCACCCAGATCCATAAAGCAAGTTCTTAGAGACCCACAAAGAGACTTAGACTCCCATACAATAATAGTGGGAAACTTTAACACCCAACTGTGAATATTAGACAGAAAATTAATGAAGATATTCAGGACATGAACTCAGATCTGGACCATGCAGGCCTAATAGACATCTACAGAACTCTCCACCTCAAATCAACATAATATATATTCTTCTCAGCACCACATTGCACTTATTCTAAAATTGACCAAATAATTGGAAGAAAACACTTCTCAGCAAAAGCAAAAGAATGGAAATCATAACTAACAGTCTCACATATACACCATGGAATACTATACAGCCACAAAAAAGGATGAGTTCATGCTTAAAATTTTTGAAATTTTTTTTAAGACATTAAAAAAGTATAGTCCTACCATTTTTCATACAGTTTTCCATTATGGCTAATTAACAAGTTTATTGATTATTTTATTCAAATTCCCTAAATTCTCTTTTTAAAAATCTAACTTGATCTGTAAAGATCTTTTTAAAATATTGTGATTATGGTAAAACACACGTAAAATTTACCATCTTAACCATTTCTAAGTGTACAGCTCAGTGGCATTAAGTACATTCACATAAGTGGATCCATCACAGAACTCTTCATCTTGCAAAACTAGAACTCTATTCCTATTAAATTATTATCCCTCTCTTCCCCTCTCTTCAATCTCTGGCAACCAACATTCATTCTGCTATCTCTAGGAATTTGACTATTCCAGGTACAAGCATACCTCAGAGATATTGTAGGTTCAGTTTCAGACCATCACAATGAAGCAAATATGTAATAAAGTGAGTCACACAAATTTTTTGCTTTCCCAGGACATATAAAAGTTAGGTTTACACTATACTGTAAGTGTTCAATAGCGCTGTCTAAAAAATGCACATACTTAAATGTTAAAATAATTTATTGCTAAAAAATGATGACACAGAAACACAAAGGACATACTGTTGGAAAGATGGCGCCCACAGACTTGCTCAATGCAGGGTTGCCACAAAGTTTCAATTCATTTTTTTAAAAAAGGCAGTACTGTGCAATAAAGTGATGCCCAATAAAGCAAGGTATGCCTGAACTTCATATAAGTGAAATCATGGAGTATATTGTGCCTTTGTGACTGGTTTCCTTCGTTTAGAATAATGTTTGATCCATGTCATAGCATGTGTCAGAATTTCCTTCCTTGCTAAGACTGAATAATATTCCATTGTATCTGAAGGCCACGTTTTAAATTAGTTCAACCATTGGGAAACACAGTGTGGCAATTCCTCAAGGATCTAGAAATAGAAATAAAATTTGACCCAGGAATCCCATTACTGGGTATATACCCAGAGGATTATAAATCATTATACTATAAAGACACATGCACACATGTGTTTATTGCAGCACTGTTCACAATAGCAAAGCCTTGGTACCAACCCAAATGCCCATCAGTGATAGACTGGATAAGGAAATGTGGCACATATATACCATGGAATACTATGCAGTCATAAAAAGGATGAGTTCATGTCCTTTGCAGGGACATGGATGAAACTGGAAACCATCATTCTCAGCAAACTAACACAGGAACAGAAAACTGAACACTGCATGTTCTCACTCGTAAGTGGGAGTTAAACAACGAAAATACATGGACACAGGGAAGGGAGCATCACACACTGAGGCCTGTTGTGGGGGGCACTAGGGGAGGGATAGCATCAGGAGAAATACCTAATGTAGTTGATGGGTTGATGGGTGCAGCAAACCACCATGAAACGTGTATACCTATGTAACAAACCTGCACATTCTGCACATTTATCCCAGAACTTAAATGTCATGAAACAAATAAAAAATAAAAACATCCCTATTGTTTAAAGATGCATACTGGACTTTCTATTGGTGAAGTAATATGATAGCTGGGATTTACTTTAAAATACTACAGATTTGAATGGTGATCACCAGGGGGAGGGAAGTCGGGGAGTTAGTGTTCAAAGGCTACAAAAATTCAGCTAGATAGGAGGAATAAGTTTAAGAGATCTATTGTACAATACGGTGACTAAGTTAATAACAATATGTTATATTCTTGAAAAATGCTAAAAGAGTAGATTTTAAGTGTTCTCACTACAAAAACAACTATGTGAGGTAATACACATGTTCATTAGTTCCAGTTACCCTTTGCGCATGGTAGAAACCTTTCCAAAGATAAACTTGAGCTAATTAACATGTGCATTACTTCACATGGTTATTTCACATATTTCAAACATGTTGTTTGCACTACATGTTAACTACATATAATTTTATTTATCAATTTTTTTTAAATTTGTAAAATAAAATGTTAAAAGTAAAAGACTGGATTTTTAAAAAGAAGTCCAGAGGAAACAAGATAGGTAAAATGATCAGTGTCAAAGCTGCTTGACAGCATATGGGAGTTCCTTTTACTTTTCTCCCTTATCTTTCATGTGTGTTTGAAATTTGTCATTAAAATTAAGAAGAAAAGATGAACACATTTATGGACCAATTCCTGTGGTAGGACATGGTGTCATGGTGATCTAATCTCATTTGGGTCACTATAAACTAAATGAACTTGGAAGTAAAGACTCTTGAAGTCCAACAAGACTGCAAGATCCCTGGAATTGCAGATGAGAAAGTCGATGACAAAGAGGTAATTGAATAATCTTGGACAGGCAGACAGGCTGTGGATTACCAGGATTAACAGTCAAATTCTCAATTCACCTTTTTTTTTTTTTTCTCTCCACCATGTGGGAGACCAATCCCTTAACCCTCCTGGAATTCAGTGTCTTTATTCCTAAAATGAAAACACCACTACCTAGTCTCCTGACTTAATTCAGAATTGTCCTGGAGATGGAATGATATCGTGATGTGAGAGGGCTTTGCTAAACCCCTCAGAACTGTAAGGAGTTGCTACTGTTACTTCCCCTGTTCCGTTTCCCAGTATAAAATAGCAAAACTCAGAGTTCACCAAAAAGGGGGAGGAGGAGGGAGGAATAATAAAGGACAAAAGAAGAACAGAAGGGTTTTAATGCTGCCAAGACAAACTCAGTGTACCCTCCCCCTGAATAAATCAAGATGATTTGGAATGGAGCAACAATACCTCCAAATCAAACCCACAGATAACGACAGCTCATCGTGTGTCTTTACCTGAGAGTCGCTTTCAGATGGGGCCTCCCACCAGCCACCAGCTGCGCTCAGAGACACTTCCTTGTTCCTTCCTGGCACATCCACATTGCCCAAAAGCTATATGGCTCCCTGTTGGGAACCCAGGCACAACAGCATGCGCCCGCCAACCAAGAGGTGTGACTTCTCTAATTGGCAAAGTCTGTTCAAGTGTCTAACCACCAACTGACAGACACCAATGCTGACAGTGGTGGGGGGTGGGGAATCTATGGGGGTGAATGGGGAGAGGGAGAGTGCGAAGTCTGAGAGGCAGAATTCTCCCATTACATTGATTCATCTTTTCCCTTCCTCTATATTTGGGGTTGAGGGATGTCAGCAGTGTAATTGGCTGTTTCTGTAAAAGGCATTACAGTAAGAGAAGCTGGATGCCCACTCAGGGACATCTGCTCTGCAAAGAGCCTATAAAAATAACTCTAGGGCGATAAGGGAACAGCTGGGGCTGGGGAATCCCAGAGGAAGGGATGAGGAGGGATGGCAGTAGAGAATTAGATACCTGCCTTGCCACATCTACCATTCCATGCTGGCAAGCAATGGACCAGTGATGAGCAGGCTGAGCCATGTTCCCAGGGGCAGCAGAGGACGCTTTTCCATCAAAAAAATTGGGGCCGTGGTTCCAAACACTTGCAAAAGAGAAGTCATGCATAGAGTGCAAAGAATCCAAAGGCTTTATTTCTTTCCTTCATTTGTCATTCAGCAAACATTTGTTTAGCATCCTCTCTGTGCCAGCTGCCAGACTAGGTGCTGGAGATCTAGGACTGGGAGATGCAAGGAGTTTATAGGCTATTGGGAGGGGCAGAAAAGAACAGATTTTTTTTTTTTTTTTTTTTTTTTTTTGAGACGGAGTTTCACTCAGTCTCCCAGGCTGGAATGCAGTGACGCAGTCTCAGCTCACTGCAACCTCTGCCTCCTGGGTTCAAGCAACTCTGCCTCAGCCTTTTGAGAAGCTGGGATTATAGGCACGTGCTTCCGCACCTGGCTAATTTGTTGTATTTTTAGTAGAGACGGGCTTTCGCCATGTTGGCCAGGTTGGTCTTGAACTCCTGATCTCGGGTGATCTGCCCGCCTTGGCCTCCTAAAGTGCTGGGATGACAGGCATGAGCCACCGTGCCCGGACAAGAACAGATGTTTTAGAAGATAGCTAAACCTTGGTTACTGTGGAGACATCTAACTCAGACATGAGTGCCTGAATCTAGGCTCCCCATTGAGTTGTTGGGTGACCCTCTTTCAGCTACCTAATCTTCCTGAGCTTTTGTTTCCTTACCTGGAAAATAGGAATAAAGCTGCTCTTATACAGAAGGCTCGAGGGAGATGTGTCTGAGTCTGTAGATGTCCTCGAGTGAGGTAGCATTGCAAATGGAGTTGTGCCTTTTTCCGTGTCAGGATGGCTTGAGATTTCCAGAAAAATTATGTGTCAACTTTGTCTCTCTTGACTGAGGTTTGTAAGACCTCACAAAAGAGAAAAGAAACACATGGGCTATCTTTTTGTGAGCGATCAATAAAGAGAGGTATGTGGAAAGAAACGATTGTCCAAAGAATGTGTGTCCCGGCAAACTACAAAATGCACGTCATGGCAATAGCTACATTAACTTAGCATTTACTTCATGCCAGGCACTCTGCTATGTGTTTTACACACATACATACCCCTCATTAAAGCCCCAAATACTCCAGTGAGGGTGACTTTATCATCCTTACTTTATCGGTAAAAAAAATTGAGACCCAGAGAAGTTAAGCAACTTGCCCAAGGTCATGCATCTAGCAAATGAGCCTTGGTTCAAACCCAAACTCTGTTTGACTCTGGGGGCTTTTCTTTGAAGCTCCCAACTACACCATCTCCACTGCTTGTGAGGAAGGACAAAACCATGACTCCAGTGAGTCAGCAGGGCACCGAACTGTCACGTGGCAGGGCTGGGGGACATCATTAGGTCATTCGCTCTCCCTCCTTACCTCTGATTCATTTTATACAACAGAAAAAAATGGGTCACAAAAGGGTGAAGTATGCTGCTGGGAAAGGCCACTCATAATCCCATAATCTTCCCACCACACAACATGGCCTTGGCTGCTGGGCCACTGAGCAGAGCCTTTGGAAGGGGAAGTGACTGTACAAGGACCACAGCAGTCAGGGGTCAGACTGCTTCTGAGCCTTCCTGACTCATTTCCTCCTTTAATGCCCAGCCTCCCATCTGGCTGTTTAGAAAAGCATTCCCTACTAGACCAGTGGTTCTCAAACTTTAATAGGTATCAGAAACACCTGGAGGGCTCGTGGAAACTCAGATTGCTGGGTTCCACATACAGAGTTTCTTTTTTTGTATGTTTGCTTTTAAGAGACAGGGTCTCACTCTGTCATGCAGGTTGGAGTGCAGTAGTGCAATCATAGCTCACTGTAGCATCGAACTCCTGGGCTCAAGCAATCCTCCTGCCTCAGCTTCCCAAGTAGCTGGGACTATAGGCATGTACAGCCATGCCCATCTAATTTTCAAAATTTTTTGTAGAGATGGGGGTCTCCCTATGTTGCCCAGGCGGGTCTTGAACTCCTGGGCTCAAGTTAGCCTCCTACCTTGGCTTCCCAAAGTGTTAGATGATAGGCACAAGCCACCATGCCTGGCCCATTCCAGAGTTTTTGATTCAGGAGCTGATCCAGCAGGGTGAGGAGTCTGGAAGAATCTGAATTTTTATCAAGTTCTCAGGTGATTCTGATGCTTCCAGTCCAGAGACCACACTTTGAAAACCACTGGTATACAGCATTGATCTTGAGGATGAGTGGGTGTTTAATACAATATTTAGCCAAAAACTGCTAGTTCCTTCCTAATATCTCTTCTTCCATTCTTCTGAAGTAATAGAAAATCTGTTCATTTATTTGAGCATATAGCCAACAAAATAGAGACAATATTTTTTAGCTCCCTTGCATCTGGGGATGACAATGTGATCTACTTACAGCTGATGGG